AAATAGCGCCCATTTTGTTGTAGCCATTCTGGAGAAGACGAAAAATGACACAGTCACCAACGCAAAACATCCTGCTTGCAGACATCCCTGAACAAACAGTATACCTGCTCAGAAGTCTTCAAATTTGGAAAGGTATCTTTGGGACATTTTGAAGAAACTCATTACACGCTAAGTTCACGCAAAGGCTAAGCCAAGGAGTTGCAAGACTTCTGGGAGAAGTTAAATTTGCTCACCGCACCCTCGACTCTTCCCAACCACTCCCTTTAGCATGCCCGGGATGTGGTCTACCAATGACGCCATAAAAATTTCATTGCCTCACAGCCATCGTGATCATTGCTTCCAAGAGAGACCCAAATCTTTGTTTAAAGGCAAACCCCGGGATTAGCCCGACTAGTAGGAGGGATACCACGAGGGAAATTGTAAGGTCCGTACTAACTAGATCACTCCAGCTTCGTCGCAAAAATTGCGCGGTTAGGGCGCTAATCCTTACGGGCCTGCAACCATCGACCCCTTTCCAACGCTTCCCACCCACCGCGAGAGGTGGTGAGATCAGCGTGCATTGATGTAGAGATCAGCGTGCTCTCTCAAACGACGTGCTCTCTCGCGTATTTTGTCTTCTTTGACCGCCCTTTCTCGCCATCGTACCACATCCGACCCTACTGAAGGTTAAGGCCTTAATTTCAGCGTTCCCAAAGATTTCTCTTGCTTTCCTTTCCACTTTCAGGTCGTTCCGCAGCTAAGCTATCACCACGAAGCGCTGATAGCACCTGTTTAATCCCGGAGTTTGCCTTTTAAATGAGTGATGGCGCCGATTACAACACTATTGCACATGTATTCCTCGCAGCACTCCTGAAACGAAATTACCTGCATGTAGAGCTTGATGTTCTTGTTAAGCAGTACAGAATCCGGAGCTCCAAGAGAGGATTTGGACAATTTCTGAAAATACCAAGGTCTCGAATTCTTAGTCAAAGGATCTATGTTGCTATGAGTCATTTTGGTGGAACTGTTTCTTCCAACTTCGGAAGGGAAAGGAACAGAGATGGGGAACCAATTCCGTCCTGCGAAAATGGGAGCAGGCGACTATTTCTTCCTCCAAGCATCAATTAAAAGTGAAAATCTTTATCGAGGTTCAAAATGCATTGGGAACTCGACAGCGAGATGCTCTTCCTCAGCATTATAATTGGACCTGATCGGATCCAATTTCAGACGAGTTTGGGTGGAATAAAATCGAAGGAAGTACAAAGCAGTCACCTTAACTTTGTTGACGTTTTGGATGATTGCAAAAAAAGCAATTGTGTCGATGAAGATCACTGCAGCACAAAGAACTGCGCAGTACAAGAAGGCAACGTAAAAAGCAATGAAGGCGCTGCATTCAGTTTGAGAATATATCCAGAGGAATGAGTGGGCGTCAAAAAAGAAATCGCAATCTGAAATCTACTCATTTATTTGTTTATTTATTTCTAAGCGTGGATCGGCGTAGAATGGATCAACAAAGAGAACCTCTTTGCTCAATTGCACCAAATGAAAAAAGTAGTATCAGGCTGTCCCGCAATGATGTTTAACTGAGCTATAACTATGGGAAGCTTTCGTAATGGGGAATTTTGAAAATATTGGGTATATTCTTTTCAATTGCGCATTCACTCCATGAGACAAGCAAAGGAAGCCCGTTCCAAGCTATCGCCTGAATTGCGTTCGATATGGTATCCCTTAATCTCTCAAAACTTTAAGGCTCTCCGCATTTGCTTTCACTACGTATTCCTTCTGATGATTAGGTCGCAGAGGTTCATCGCTCATCGATCTCGCAGAACCCCAACATCCCGGCCTGAAATGCCTCCTAACAGTGAAGAAATTGTAAGAAGTCCATCCAGGAGATCCGGTCGACAAACTGCACCATTGAAGTATGACATCTCTCTGATCTGAGGCGTTCTCTAGAATGTATAGGGCCCAGCTTGGGCTGAAATGAGCATGCTCCGAATGGGAGCACAAGGGAAGAGTTCCCTCATTGCATCGTAGTTTCGGCCGATGTTTCGTAAAGTCTCGCAAAGTGGACTTCACGTCATCCACCGTTTGATTCAGACTTCACATTTCCATTTTTCACCTCCTTCAGAGCCATCTTCGTGGAAAGAAATTCGATAACAACACAGCTTCAAATCCACTTTATCCGATAGCTCATTCAGCATTCACTTTATTCCAGGATGAGAGATATGGAAGTTTTTTTAATCATTGTTACCAATGAACCATGTGTTTGAATTAATTCTCATTGACTTTTTGCGATAATTTGCTTAACTAAAGTTTTGTAAAAAAATTGCGTAAGAAATCCACTAAAAATTGGCACATCTTAATAGAAACACTATTGCACCAATTTGGGGCTGCGACTTTGTTTCGAACACTAGTGTCACATAACTTCAAACTTTCATCCTGAAATCCCCGCCGGGGTTGAGACGTTCGCTAGTGCATAACCCTTCCCATTTTCTGCAGTCATGCCGGTTTTCTCAGACACCAGACAGATTCGGTTTTGTAGACAGGAAACTAGCAAAAACAACTAAGTTATCGTGGGATTCTTGTAGCCACTGTAGCACACTCATAACTGTCACACGGAGTTCATCATCACGACAATCAACGGAGCAACTTTTTGTACACAGTTTGGTCCTTCCAGGTTCAGATGTATAACAGTGGCCAGTTATTGACCAGATCGTCATCATGTTTCCAGAAAGTATGACGTTTTTGCTAGGGGATATACAAAAAGCAGCAGGTTATGAAAGCCGTACCTAGAAAAAAAGGTATGCCGTGGACACAGCAGAGCATCCAAAATGCCACCAGAATTTGCTTGGTTCGACTCGTCGAGAACGTAGAACTGCAAAGAAGAAAACTAGCCTAGTTAAACTTACTTTTCTTTTCCATCTGCCAAAGAAAAAGGCATCCAAAAATGTACAAAATTCACGTATTCAACGGAAGCTCCATGAAACCTATTCGGTTGATGCATAATTATTGCGGCTTTTTTCAACAAATTTTATTCAGAGAAAACGATAAAAGATATATAACAAAAACACGTTCAAACTACTATTCCGGAATTATGGAACGAATCCGGGTCAAAACCTTTTCCGTTGGCTTGGCATTAGGTCGATTCCACGTCTGGAGAACTCACGGTTCTTGGAGAAGATCTGCGCTCTAACATCGGCCTCCAAGTAAAGCTCGTCGTAAATTTTATTCGTTTACCGGTTTTTTCAGCGACGGATCGAAGTGGTAGTCCATAGGAGCTTCAGCCGGTAAATATGGCTTCTGACTTGCTGACTGTTCCCTCGCCGAAAAGCTGCAGCAGAGCAAAATGGCTCTGCAGCCTTCCAATCCTTCCCGAAGTGGTAGAGCATATGTAGCGAATGTGAGGATAATTTTGATAAGCTTTTCTGTTAAGGGGGGGGGGGAGAAGAATATTCCCATGAAAGAATAATAAACAAATGCTAATCTTTTCAAAAAGAAGAAGTTTCTTCTTTTTTTTCAGTTTTTCCTTTTTCAGCAGTTTTTCAATCATTCTATTTGTAGGAGTTACTGATGGTTCCAATTATGAATATGACATTCATTGTTCATGCTAACTACATTTTGCGCGAGCCGAATTTTGGAACGTCAACTCGAAATGCAAAAATTTGTCACCACGAGGAATCGAACTAGGGACCTCCTTTTCTGGTATTCAGAGGGCCGTTCAGGAAAAATTGAACATGGTTCTGTGGTTCCCGCATCTGCCCCTATATCATGCAAAAGACCGTTTTCAAAAAGCTTGTCACGCCCTGAAAGACCTTCCTGGTTAGATCCTTTTCACTTTTCTGCAAATTTCACCCCGGACGACTCTTGTTCTCAGATCGAAGTGAAGTCTTGTCTTACTCTGCCCATGCCGACATCAATGCGATCACGCTAACCTATGCCGCCATTTACTGTCTATCAAAAGCAAAGAACACGGTAGTGGTGGCGGCAGCAAATTTTGGTGCGCGTTACTACGGGGCGATTTAGCAGAAGATTCAAATCACGTCTCAGTGAACTCAGGGGTCTGTCCCACCAATGACATCTAATGGGACTATAAATACCGCTTCGCTCTCAAACCATCGTGTTCATGGTCCGTAAGCCTATAGAATTGCTCAGAGATCCTGAAGCCTTGCACAATTTTTTTTTTCAAATCGGAAAACATAATTCGTGGAACGTTCACGCAAAACCACTAATTCAATAATCATCGGTCAATAATTGACGCACTTGTACATTACTGGAGAAGAAATGGCCAGAAGTCGATTGAGAGCCGTTTGCAATTGGCCGTAAACCGAACCAAACCAGAATATCACGGTGAGCTGTCCCATTCTCTCACCGAAGTACGAATGTGTTATCGTTTCAGAGAAGCCACTGAAGTGAACAAAGAAAATGCGTGTGATTTTGTAAAGAAAAGAAGTTACCGTTTTTGGTGGAGGGAATACTCTTTCGGAATTTCTTTCACTCCTGTTTGGAATAAGGGCGCTTATTTTCGATGCTCTCACAGCTGCATAGCGTCCCGAAGGAATCAAATTGAGTATTTGTGTACACATACAGCTTTAGCTAAATTCAGGCAATTTGCAATGTTGAGGCGGGTGCCTTTTTGACCGGACGGGCCTCTAGGATTCCTTTGTGGTTACAGTTTTACGGTTTCTGGTCGCGATATACTGGGTGGCAAAACCTGAGGAAAATCCTGACAGCGCTGAAGCAACCATAGCAAGGCTTCTTGTAGGCACTAAATCGTGATGGGCTGCGAAAAATCAGCGGCCGAAGAAATACGAGGGCCGTTTACTAAACTTTGGGTAGGGTAACAAAAATTCCTTCGAATGACAGATAAAAATTTAGAGGGTTATCGCCTCCCTTTGTTTGTGGAAAGAGAGCACACAGCTCGAATTTTGATTACTATCCGGAAACTCACAATAAGGAAGCCGGAGCAGCCCAAAAGGAGAAAATGACGAGCACTCCAACGTCAGCGAACAAATGTGATGCGCATATATAGCCGAAAGCGTTGTGGAAGGAAGGAGTGCGATAAGATGAGCACGATAGCCGAGATATTCAGCACAATTCCAATAACGCCGACCTGAAAATGAGTCGAAAGGTTTAGCAAGCTGTGGCAGAGGAGGGAATGTGAATTTACTCCTGAATCCTAACTTGTTTGAAAATTCCTCACTGCAATCAAATGCTTTGCACTACCAGATGCAGCTGAGTTTCCTAAGTATAACCCATAACCCGAATGATACAGCGTGTCTTTGTTCTGGGTCACAGCTAACAAAGGGGAGGGTGTGGGGCAGAAGAAGATTTTGCTCTGTCATATTCACTGATTTTTTCGTTGCAGGGATTGGCCGTCCTTGGTACTCTTATAGTGAAATATACCTCAAATCATCCTATAGGCCGGTGTCAGAGTCCGCGATCCGTCGCATGATTCGCTCAAATAGCGATGAATCGCAGACGCTGACATCAACCCTATAGGTGAACGCAAACCCTTCTTCTCTGCTCTCAACGTCTTCGGAATATAACTTCATCTGCAGCCGCGTCATCTCTGAGCTACTCTGACCTACTGTATTCACTCAAACTTGAAGCTCCCACAAAACTCCCTGAATCGAATCTTTGTTGGATAGGTTCCTAGAAAAATTATTTCTGAGTGAGGTTCCTTCCGAAACTCGCTCTTCAGCAAGCGTCGTACGTAATGCAAAGACGCTTCGAGGAACCTCCTTGGAAAACCAGCATCATGTTTCCGCAAGCAATTGGAGCTCTCAAGAAAGTTGAAAGCATTAGATTGATTTGATTGCGCAAAGTGTGATTAAGTCCTTCGAATGTGCGGACAAACTATCCTATTTTAATGACTGTATTTTGTTTCTTTAAAATAGATTGAACGGCGGCTACTAGAAGATGTATTATGTTATACATTGACTTGTTTATCGCTCTAATTTGTTCCTCAGTGAGGTAACGTGCGAGGATTCAGCGTTCATTAATATTTCCACATCGCCTGCATATTAATTAAGACTCTGCAGCAATAGTTACAGCTGTCAAGAAAACAGGATAAGCGGGGAAAAGCAGTGGAAAATCAAGAGAAAACATGAGAAGATTTATGATTCACTCATGAGGCGCTTCACGCTTTCCCTCACACCATCTATGCATTTTGCATTTATGCATGAATGATGTGCAAAGCTCATCGGAGAAGAAAGCCATGACTCCGGCTCTTCCCGTTGTAATAATGGCGGCAACATATACACTCAGAGGCACAGACCGCGATCGGATCCTCAGAGCGTTTCGTCCTTGAGTTTGCGGGGTTTGCAAAGTCGCGGCACTGTCGCGACAAGGCCACTAAGGCATCAATCGCAGCGGCTGCTGCTTTCTCTTGTTCGAAACATGCGCGGTGTCTGCGCTCTCTGCAACTCCCATATTGCCTCTCCCTCCGCCCCGTGCGTCCCCATAGTACTGCAGACGATATCAAAAAAGGAGAGATTTAGACAGGCTTACCAGGGAGGTCTTTCAGACCGTGTCAAGCTTTTAACAAACGGTTTCTTTTGCATGATATAGGGGCACATGCGAGGACCACAGAACCATGGTTCATTTTTCCTGAACGGCCCTCTGAATACCAGAAAAGGGGTCCCTAGTTCGATTCCTCGTGGACAAATTTTTGCATTTCGAGTTGACGTTCCAAAATTCGCGCAAAATGGAGTTAGCATGAATAATTAGTACCATATTCATGATTAGGACCGTCAGTAACCCTACAAAAGACTTTGACTTAAAAATTGGTGTAGAGGTGTGACATCAAGCAGCCCCACTGTGGTGTCACACCTTTTTCACCAGTTTTTTAATCAAAGTCTATTTGTAAGGGTTACTGACGGTCCTAATCATGAGTATGGTACTAATTATTCATGCTAACTCCATTTTGCGCGAATTTTGGAACGTCAACTCGAAATGCAAAAATTTGTCACCACGAGGAATCGAACTAGGGACCCTCCTTTTCTGGTATTCAGAGGGCCGTTCAGGAAAAATTAAACATGGTTCTCTGTGGTTCCCGCATCTGCCCCTATATCATGCAAAAGACCGTTTTCAAAAAGCTTGTCACGCCCTGAAAGACCTTCCTGGTTAGACGTGATCAGACATTCACCTTTACAGCTGGAAATTGGGGATCCGGGTCTATTCGAAAATTCGGATACAGCCCAAGAGATTCTTAAGTCGAAATCCTGATAATCGTCAACGCATATGGCGGCATTGGTCACCGACGCCGAGCAAGACAATGCGGCCATGCCTTACGAGTCTGAGCATTTTTGCCAGAATATAAAGCTCAAACGATAAGAACCAACCAAGGATATGTTGTAGTATTCATCTAATTTTGCCTGGCCATGTTTTGTGCACATATTTTCGATGCTTTCACCAATGGGATGCTCGAAGTGAAATTCTTAGGGTATTTGTCATTTCGAAAGGACAATTCTGGCTTCTTGCTCGGAGCTAGTCCGGCTACAGATACAGATTTTGACAAAATAGAGCTGGATCCATTCCCAGGATCGAGAATGGGAAAATTGAGTTTTACGAGCTTGTTCCGGAGTTCCTCCTTAGTTGGACCAGAAGATTTTTGCCTGATTTGAAGGCGATCAGTAGGGATTTGATACAAACGTTTTTTCCTGCATGGACTGAAGACGGAAGTGGTGTGGTGGCCAGTGGCACTGGCTTGTACATTAATCTGTGCCCGCAAGTCATTGTTTGGGCCAAATCGCATTCAAAATGAAACTACGAAGAAAATGCGGGGCCAAGTGTGAAACGAGACTGAATGCGTTATCCTTTTGTTCTTTGTCCTGCATTTTTAGAAATAGTGAGAATCGGTGGATGGATGTCATGTACTAATTAGGGTCGCCAAAGTAGCGTGAGAGTTTGCTTACGTTCCTCGTTCAATTTACAATCAGAGCCACATAGCAGGCATTTCAGAGCCAGACACAAAAGTTCTAGAGGGTCCTTGTGAATGTTTGTAGAAGAAGTACAAAGCGTGACTTTCACTATCAGCCATCACTGCTCAAGGACGATAATTTCGTCAAGCGATCTTGATCAGCTACATTGCGATGGAGTTGTCGGAGTCCTCGGGTCAGACACTAAGGTGTTGTGATGAGTCTAGCAGTGAACTTACTATCTACGCACAGATATTTTCACCACCGATGGTGAAAGAAGAAGCAAGATAACTTAGTGAAGAAGAATTCCTCAACAAGCAAGAACATATAGTAAACATCTTTTGCGCTAAAGGAAAGGAATAGGATTTGCTTATTAACAATAGGATTTGTTTGGAACGCCAACGATTTTGATTTCAAATGGAGGAGGAAAGTGCAGCACACTTATTTCACATCAGGGGAGGAGGACGTATAAGAGTCGTCCGAGCAGAGGTACGAAGACAGACTGGCCTGTCTCGGAAATCTTGGTTCTCTACAAAACGCGCACTCGAAGTGGGCGTGGTCGATCTCTGTCTAGGCGGATCTCTGGTTAGGTTTACGTGGCTGAGATGAACATTCATTCCAGTAGGTGGAGCGAACACTTCAATCATGAAGGTTCCCGCGGAGTTTGATTTGTGGGTGATCTCGGAGTATACACGTTGATAATGACTTCAGTTTCCGAAAAAAATTATTTGCAGGACGAATAATCGTGAATTCTCCGATGCACGGTTGGCGACAGCTTTCTGCTATCCATGTGAAAATTGGGTGGGATGTTTTGCGGTGCCTTGAAGGTCGTTTTGAGATCTGTAGAAGTCTTCGAGATGGAGGACTTGAAAATATGCTCCAATTTTTCATTTATCCAGATTGTGAAAAGTAGCAGGCTAGGTTTACCGCAGTATACTACAGGCAAGCGTAAACAATCGTTTAGGGAGGGGCATTGCATCCTCACAATAATCTTAATCTCCCAACTCTAGCAAAAAGCTAGCAACGATTAGTATTAGGTTGTCCCATAATTAGTGAATCACTTTATATTTACTGCATGAAAAATCCAAGAATGGTAAAGACGTAAAACACGTTTTGCCAAGTAGCACCCTCATTGTCCTACCTGAGCATTTAGTCAGCACATTTACAAGATGCGTTACATGGCTAGTTCATCAATTTTTCTGAAACCTATTTTTGAGCTTCCCCTCTTCATCACTTCTTATTAGGACCTTTCAGACGCCAAACAACATTGTGGATCAACCAGCAGATAGGTGCAGGTCGCTCAGTCCACGGTGCACCTATGGATTGACTCTATTCCGGGGTTGAATTTATTATTTGAAGATGACCCACACTCCAGGTACCCTTCGACTGGCAATCTCACTGCCCTAGCCAGCGCCACTAAGAATGGAACTGAACAAACTAGTCGCTATTTGCTAGAGCGTATCCAACTTGTTAAGATGGTGGAAATGTAGACAACTCCGTAGAGTCGTTAAGATTTAAAAATATGAAATTTGTTCCTCCCGTGCTCTGTGCCCGAATCAGCTTCAAACACGATCTGACATCGTCATGTTCCTTCTGATCTCTCTTACTTCCTTACAACGATCATCCCAACAGCATGCTCACTGGGATTGTGGACTGGGTGGAGTGTGCCTATCAAAATCCACACATAGGTGGGATAAGGGCGGAAGTGGTGTAGTGACAAGTGGCGCGCTTACCACGCGAGCGGTCCGGGGATCAAATCCTGGGTCGTGAGTCGCCCGGGCCAACCAAGCCTTCCATCCCTCCGGGGTCGGTTAATTGGTACCAGACTTGTCTGGGAGGATAAAACACTGACTTGTACATCGGCTGGCCCCGCAATCAATGCCTTCTTTTTTCCAGAGGTCGTTTGACCCACCTTCCAGAAAACATTCATAAAAAGTTGGAGACTCCCAGGCTAACAGTACTCCCACCTCCGCCGTGTAGCTCTAACCTCGTGCCAAACAAAAGAGACCAGCCTTTGCCTCTAGCTCCTTTGTCAGACAGAAATTTGCGCAGAGAGAACATTTTGCCCGCGAACCGACTTCCGGCATGTCGTCGGTGTGAGGCGTTGCTTGTGAATGGTCAGGGCGAGAGATAACGAATTAAATTCCATATACAGACATAACGTTGTAGATAGACAGAGGGGTACAATTTGGATGAGCAAGGAGCTTTCGAATGAAAACCGAAGGCAATCGAGCTTCATATATACCCAAAGTGATTTCACTATTATGGGTGTAAGCGTACAAATAAACGCAGAGTTCACTTAGGAATGCGAGAGGTAGCTGATTTGAGGAAGCGCAGTAACATTCAAGTCCTACGGGCTTGGGAGGGCGATGGAAGGAAGCTAAAGAGGAACGCCTTTCAGACATGCAACGTTTTTCCAAAACGGTTTTATGCATGATATTGGGACACGTGCATAGAATATAGAAACTACGCTTTATTTTTCTTGAGTGACTTTCGCAACACCGACACAGCGCGGAAGGTTGGTCTATGGTTCTATGGTTCAAACCGTGAATGAAGTTTTGCATTTTCGATGGGGCCCAAAAGGCCCTTCCGTGTTGCCCCAAAATGGTATCCGCGACTATAGATGATGCCATATCACCATCATTACAAATATCAGTAACCCATACGAATAGGTTTTTGTCAAAAAGTGATGTCAAAAAGGTGTTGGCGTTCGAGCTTTTTTTTTACCACATTTTTGGAATCTAAAGAGCCACTCAGGAAAAACGAACCACTATGGTTCTGTGTTTAATGTGTGTGTCCCTACATCATGCAAACTGTTTTGAAAAAGTCGCCACGACCTGGTACACCTTCCTGGTAAGGAAGGGAAAACTTGAGAAAGTGTTTGAACTATACAACGTTGCGTGAGCGTGCGAGGGCGGAAATGGTATTATCACAGCGATGGCGGGACTCGGACGACCTTTACCCCTCTGCCGAGAAAGGGTAGCTCGCTCGATGAGTGCAAATCACGGCTTTTGCCATGACATGATGGGGGAATTACAGTTTTTTTATTGTACAGCAACCACAATCGAATGGCACTCAAAAGTGGAAAGGATGTTCTAGCGCTTATGGTTAGCTAAGGAATGTTTCGGAACATCTGATCTCTGAGGAAGAACATGGGCTGGATGAACGAGAGGGTTGGTTTGGTTGTGCACACTCTGTACGGACTGACAAAGAAACTCAACATCATGATGGGAGTGCGTCACAGATAGCTCTGAGTCCCTCCCTCGTCCTTTTACCCTAGACGTTTTGCTGAATGGTCTGATGGAGAGGCCATTCGAAGTCATCCTCTACGCCGACGACATCGCCCTGATAGCGGATAGCAGAGGTGAAGTTTAGGGCAGGATGTAAAAATGACCTATGCTGGTAGAAGGTGAGCTCCTAACCGTGGAAAAAACTACGCTCATGAGCGTTAAGGATAGACAGCGCCAATCGTCGATGGCCATGGAGAGAGAGCATCGAAAGAACTGGAGGACTTGCAATACATTCTGAAGCGATCTAGCGCTGACGGTTCAGCGGGGTAGCAGAATGGCACGGATCAATAGGTGTGATAAGATGTAGGTTTAGGGGATTTCAATACATAAATAGAATACAATACAGGTGCTGCAGTACACCCCGAATAAAGGGGGTCTGCCCACAGGGTAGGGTCTGCATTCTTATTTACCGGCCAGCAATGCTGAACTGCGTGAAGAATCATGAGGGCGGCTCCATTTCGCTGAAGTGGTATTCTACGATGGGCTTGTGGCCGGATGCGACGGACATGTTGGAATCGAGGAGTCGGAGCGGTTATGCGGCAGCCCACGACCAGCTGGAGGTGCAGAAACAGCCACTGCGTTGCTATGAGCGTGTACCAAGGAGGCACTAGAGTCACCCGATGAGAACGGTTTCAGACTTGGCAGTCCAGGGGAAGCAGCGAAAGAAACCTTGAGCAAAAGATAGAGGGACGTCATTAAGGAGGACCTCACAGAAGTCCGGGCCTCGGCATAAGATGGCGGGCCGCAGATACCTCCACACAGTCGATACCCCCGCGGGGCGCCGAGGCGGGGTTCCAGGCTTCATTACAAAAATCGATGGACTGGTGAGATGCGCGGCGATCAGCAGGTACCATCATTTCGGCGGTCTCTAGGGGTATTGATCTACGTGATCAATCCTGGGGGCATCAAAATTTGTAATCTGACCCTTAAATTCAAATTCAAAATTCCTGGGGGGTTCCCTTTAGCCATATGACCCGACCCCAAAGGTGCGAAGCACATATAAAAGCCTCACTGCACGGTCTTCAGCAAAGGGTGCCTTCTAACGCTCGGCTTTTACAAAGGTTAGCGGGTTACGAC